TTGTTTTAAAAACGTTCCCAAAAATTCTAAGTGGTGCATGAGAAATTTTATGCGCGCTGACTTTATTACACAACTTTTTGGGAGTCCATTTAGCTTTTCAGATAGTGTAATTACAGTCTCAGGAAGCATTGCTCTACAAATTGGTACCTAAAGTTTGTCGAAAGACATCAATACAAAAAAGTCATTAGCGATCAAACAGTGTATACATACTTTTGAGATACCCTATATATTCACCTGCACCATATTCACCTGAATGTGAATCTTTTCACCTTTGGGGTCATTGGGCCTCCCCAGCATTCCGACTGGGTGGGGTTATGGTTATTATATCCGGGGTAGACCCGCTTTATAAGCTGTCGGTTTGCTTTTAAGAATAATGTAAAGATCGTGCGTCCCATCTCCTTGAAGTTATAAGCTGTGGAGTTATGAGTATCAATGCCTATCAATGCCTACATTTGTATACATATCTATTAGCCTGTCAACATATTCAATGCAAGCTGTTTCATTTTTCTTACTTTAGTCTGACTAGGATTAGACTCGGTTCGACATGATGACGTCTTCATTCGTTTAAGGCCCGTATGCACGTACGTCCCCGCTGGGGAGGGGAGGGGAGCTGGATCCCCAGGGGAACGATCCCCTCCGCCGAACCCCGCCATGACGGAGGGGAGGGGAGCGATCCCCTCCCCTGCAGCTAAGCGGGGATGGTGTGAATGGTTTCAGAGGTATTGATCGAGCGAACCCCAGTACGGGGTTCGCGTGGGGGAGGGGATTCTCAACAACGCGGGTGAGGGGATCGACATCCCTTACAACGGAGTAGGGTTCGATGGTGTAGGTCAAGCTAGAGAAGCGAGTATTCTGATTTCAATCAATTATTACAAAGCATTTCGCTCAAATTGATGAAAGATTTTCTAAGGGAGCCGCGTTCCTCTCTCAGCGACCTGTAGCTTGCAGTTTTAACTCTCTCTCTTCCATATTCGCTTCTTGTAAAGAAATCCGGACATATATCTGCCAGTTTCGAATATCTGTAGAAGGTTGTGACCATTCACGAGAGTTGAGCATTTTTTATTTGACATGATAGTTTTATCCATTGAGGCTGGTACAACATATTGTAACTATCACATTGCATAATAAATTGTTCTTATCTTGTTATCCTAACGTAAAACTGTTTGAATAAAATGAAAATTAGCAGACTCGCGTGTTTCTGAGTAAAGATCCTCGGGGAATGATCCCCTCCCCGTCGCTCCCCTCGTGCATAGGGGGATGGCCGCTGGGGATCATTCCCCTAGGGTAAAGGACGATATGCAGCTGATAGCTACAGCCTTTATGGGGAGCTGGCACGATTTGCAGCTTCAATTATGTGTAGAAATGCTGGTTTGAATGTCCGTGCGCCCCCCCCCCCTTTTCGGCAGCATAACGTCTTCTACCCTTCCACTGCATATACATACACCTTGACTTCTATCCCTGAACACCTTTAAGCTGAAATGGGCAGCATGGGCGAAAATGAGCAGCATCCATGAAAAAAGCTGGAATATGATGAATGTAGGAATTATTTCTTTAGTGTGCTGATCGCAATCACGGCAGACGGCATTCCGCAACGACTAAATATCGCCGAGACACATTGAAGGCGAGTAGCTATAAAAAAGCGGAAGCAAAATGAATTCCCCGCTCGATCTCCCCTTTTGCATAAGGGGGCTTCCCTCTCCTAAACCCCAGGGGATCCCCTCTCCGGTATTGCCTTTCTGCATACGGGGTTTCGCGTGGGGAAGGGAGGGGAGCCCCAGCGGGGATCATTGCAATGGTTAAACTCACATCCCCTCCCCGCGGGGATGTACGTGCATACGGGCCTAAGTTTCTTTTTCATTCCGCTGTATTACTAACTTCTCGATGTGTTTTTTTCTGTTATAAAATGCCTTGAGCGTACAATTGAAAATGAAAGAAATGAAAATATTCACCTTTCATCTGCAACGCATTTTCATAGCTGATACAACTATGTCAAGCTAACCAGATTGTTCTGGACTCACTTTCTCGAGATTTCCAGATGATTATGTTAAGCTACTTTGTTCGTTTTTCCTGTGCACATGAAAAATGTTCTTGTCAAGTGTTATTGATAAGCGTGGTAGCAAGACAATAGAACATAAGGAAACGAAAATGACTAGACTATAATGTCATATAAAGTTGTTTAACAACGAAAACCTGAAAAAAATGGAAAAAATGAAAAAAATAAAATGAAAAAGATGAGCACAGCTCTCTTACCGAGTTAAAAAAAAAGACCAATAGGCTGTTTCATGCTGGCTTTCCTAACGGTGTATTAACGATGACGATTTACTCAAGCGTAATAATCTATGCGTTCCAGTATCTTTGTCGTTGATGTTGTTTCTCATAAGGTCAAGCTCTTTTCAAGAGTTGAATCGAAAAATATATTCCTTGCTTGCGTCGCCGAAAAAACCCAAGTCAATACTGTGTTCCAGGCTAACGCAAACTGGCTGCGTTGACTTACTCATTTTTGATCTCAATGATCTCATTCTGTCGGAGCAATCAAATCCAATGTGTGTTGACATCGCATTTCATTAGTCTCATATTTCCTCTAGGTTTATTGCGAATAAGATGTGCTCGAACCTGCAAAAACTGACGCCAATGCTTTTGAAAAAGTATTTGCAGCTACTCAGAGTTTTTTTTTTCAAAGTATTGTTGGACCTTGTTAGTGATTTTCCGCTTGAACGTGACCAAGATCTTAGACCTTTATTGATGGCTTTCGTTTCAAAGTCCTTGCCCTCGTCAAAGCTTAGTTAGAAGTCAGAGATCACTCGTGAGGTATCCACTCAAATGCCTCATCTCATCTGACACCAGACATTCAAAGCGTGATTGAGATCAGGGCAAGCAGGAAAAAACACGAAGGGGTTCCGTAATGCAGTGATTTTGTAGACAAGGACACCCGTACTACTGCTAGCCACGTTAAATTTTACTCACAAGGGTGGGTCACAAAGACGAAGTGGCCTATAATAGCAAGCTGCATACCGTAGTGAGAGCTTGGAGCGCTGACTCCAAATATGCTTTCCTTATCTGCAGAGCCGCTCTAGAAAAAAAGTATGAGCATTTTTGAGACGAAAAAATGAAGTAATGGCGAGGCTATAATCAATCGTTACAGCCTTTCTAGACGTCAAATGGCAAATGTGAAGGACTGACTTGATAGACAAAAGAAGTTTATTGTATGAAATACCCTGACAGTTGCTGCTGCTTCATTAAGGATCTAGAGAGGCTGTAACGATCAATATCACCCCGGTCATTGTTCATTTTCTGGCCTCAAAACAATGCTCATAGCGTCCTTCTCAAAGGCGCTCTGAAGATAAGCAAGCAAAGCAGATTTACCCTCGACGTCAATCCCTAAGTTACATTTGCAAAGTGGAGTGTTGTGGTGCGGCCGCCTCGCTTTAGGCTCGCGTCACCTTGCGAGCGCATGAGTTGGCATGGCGTGGCAACAGGAGCAACGAAGAAACGTTGTTCTTGTTGCCACGTTTGAACATGTTGTGGCGCCACGTTGTTTTTAGCGCCACATCACGTCCAAATGATGCCCCAGCAACGTGGCGCGAGCGCAAAGCGAGGCGGCTGCACCCCACCACTTCACTTTGCAAATGTAACTTAGGGATTGACGTCGAGGGTACAATCAGCTTCAAAAGCTCTCTCAGACGATGCTTGGGAATCCCACCATGTAGCCCGCCATCGCAAACCAAGGTCGACTTGATAAGTTGGTAGAACGCATTGTTACTGTCACGTCGTCCTTTCTATTTGATTTTGGGCTATTTACCATTTGAAACGCTTTCGGAGTTTTGGGTGCCACAATCTTGAATTGGCATTACAGGATCGACTATTGCGTTAAATGGATGGAATCAAATCAAATCATAGGCCGAACTTAATTTACCTGTGTTGAGATGCAATAATACAACATGATATCCAAAGCATCACTATGATCTCTTTGACGGTGCGCTTCCAAAGGATTTTGTACTAAGTCTTTCCGGATATCTCTTATGCGAATCACAAAGTTCGTATCGTTTGCGCAACACACTTTTCCATGCATGAAAGGCTCATTAAGTAAACCGCGACATGCGTTCAATCTCCATCCATGCCAAAGGGGCAAATTACGTAGCTGGAATCTTTACAAAGACGATCATAGACTCGATTTCGCATAGCCACTGCTTTAGATTATTTGGTGGGATATCCACGACCCCTATGAGCCCTTCAGACGGGTCTGGTGTAGCAAGTTCTAATTGCCTTGCTCATCTCTTCCGACAGATAGGGTAGACAGAAGGGAATCGTTGTTGGATCCATTTGTTTGCAGATAGACGGAGAAGATATAACGCAAACTGCAAGGGCACCATGGGTGATTTAAACTTTTACTCTTCCAAAAATAAAACTTTAATAATCGGTGTAAATTGTCAAGCGAACATCAAGATTAACTTTCCTTTATTAATTTCGGCCAACCTTTCGGCGCCATCGCCTTCGTCAGAGCTTAGAAAGTCGAATACAAAGTTTAAGTGATAGAATAATAAAAAGTACACTGCATTTGACTAACGAAGGCGATAGCGCCAAATACTAAAGTAAAATGATATTATGTGAAACTTTAGAAATATAGTTAGTAAAAATTACACGGGATCGCTACGTTTTTCTTTCTACAAAGAACATAGCACATGATTGTGTCCCCCCTCACAATTACAAAGGTGGCTAAGCACTTTATCTCGATAAAAGGTGCTTAAGTTTTTGTAAGCGGGAGAGTGGTCCAGTCTCATAATGTTCGCCCAAACATTGTTATCATTTGAAGATTATAGTGGTGTTGTCATCTGGCTAATAATCCATGATCTTCAATCAAGTTACGATTTCGCAACTCTATAGACTTCCTTGTGTGTGGGAATTGCTTTAGAATGTGAGAAGATGATGAAGATATGAAATATTTATACAGTGGGGCACAGTTGTGTCTGCTAAATAAATTCTCATCATTATCGGAAGGCAGCTCAATGAAAGAATTCCGTGGCTATAATATACACATGATGTTGTGTCCTGCCAATGTGCGTTATATAAATAACGACAGGATCCATCACTACATCAATGAAATTCTAGTAAAAATCATTTTTTAAATAGAATATGCACATCACTTCGGCTTGGTCTAACCATTCGTGCCTGCACAACGGACAGAGACCGTGGTTACGGACACCGAAGCGTGCCGGTAGGTACCATCGGTTCACACATCTAAAAATCAGCTTTAACACACATGAAAGTACTTCGGGGTTTTAAAGTCGGGTCTATGACATTTCACCTTCGACAACCCACAAGCTGTTGGCAATAGATGCATCCGACGGGGTCTAGCGGCTCATCTTCAAGGCAAATCGTGCACTTCCCATAGGCGTCACTCCTGTATCGAGAGAAATTGTTCTTGTCATGTACTGCCTCTTTTTTGCTAATATTAGGTGGCTACACACGGCGCTACATCAAAGAGAAACGCCATTGCATAAAACATCACCCACCTTATCAATGATTCATTCGCTTTTCCATTTGGATCGACAATATAGTTGTCGTTACGTAAAAATCTCAGGTTCCTGACTGGAAAATATGAACTTCATGCTTCAAATCCAACCATAAAACGAAGCATGTCCCTAGCTGCGCTGCGCAGGCAGCTGACACTTGCACACACACTCATGTTCAAATGCATGGTTTGTGGCAGATTCTTCCCAGATAATGCCTATTTTCCGCATAATGTTCAATAACCGAGATATGGTGAAGAGGATTTCAATGGCAAAAATTTCATTTACCTCGCTCGGCTTCATCTTCTACTAGCCTTAAACGAGCTTCCGTTAAACGTTGAAGCAATTGCAGTTCCTCTGTTCGGCGTTCGAGTTGATCCAGCAACTCGGCAAACCTTTCATGGTTTCTTTCTAGCCTTTCCCTCTCCTCTTCCAAAACCATGTACTCAGCACTCTCTATAATGGAGAGAAACACATTATCAAAAGGGTGTGGCGATAAGGAAAGTAGAAGTCAATCAAAGAAGACAAGATTGTTGTGTCCAATAAAATACTGTTTGATAGGAGGAAAAAACGCTTTGCATGTAGGCTCTAGAAAATGATTACGTGAACATCGTTTCGGTGCGCGTTACTTGGAGAATAGTTATTATATTTTAACTGGAGAAACGCTTATTTAAGTTAAGCTTCTCTCCCATTCAACTGGTATAACACTCAGCATTCAGTACAAAATACAGTACAAATTTCTCGTTCGAATTCAACAATTGCAAGTCCACTTTCTTCTTCTAAAGGCGTTAATGCACAGAATTAACGGCCTCACCAAAGGACGTCAGGACGTTTTGCATACCACAAGCTTTTCCAGTTTTTTCTAATCCTACGCGGGTTCAAATCGCATAAATTTCCCTTCCCCGTTTTTCGAAGGCTTTGCCGAAATATCTTGGACGAGATGTACTTCCTTATTCAAGCTTACTCCACAGGTTCAAACACGCTGACGGGGAAGCCGTCGCTTGGATGACGTCTTAAAAAACGAGAAGAGAGAGCGGCGAGTCAGCCAGCGGGGGCCAAAGCGCCCTTTGTGGGCCAACTTTAGATGCAATTTCTCGAGGTAAAGGGGGCCGAATCGAGTCGGGCCTGCGCAGCGGCTAATCCAGGGAGGTCACTAACAGAATATATAAAGACCCGCACTGCCTGGTGAAATACTGCTAGATTCTTGATGTGACACTTTTGTGTCAAGCTTTCGGGAATCCAAATCAATGCCAAAGTTAGCAGATTAAGAGAAATTTTAATGATTCGTTGATCCGCACACTCAATGGCCATATTCATCAAAAGACCCATAGCGTTCGCCTACCCGCCGGATAGGCTAAACCCACTAACTTAGTGGATGTCGACCGTAAGAGTGGATGTCGACCGTAGGTTGGCTTACTTGCTGGATAGGTTAACCCACTGGGTTCGTTGAAAAATGCGGCCACTGGTAGGTAACCTATCAGTTTTGTGAATATCGACCGTGGATTCCTAGGCAATAGCCTGGGGTGATTAACCTACGGCTCGTTGATAAGTACGACCACATAATGACAAACCACTGATGCTGTAAAATTCAAAAAATATCAACCTCTAAGACTAACAGGCTCGGTTACACTGCACACATTGCCTAAACAAGTTTTATTGCGTAGTCTACAAGTTTTTACTTGCGCCTTCTCTCATCTAGGATTACGTGCCACTTGAAAGCAGGTAACGACGAGTCTAGACATGTTTAGACAATGTGTGCAAAGCGTATCCAGCCTCCTAGTCCCAGAGTAGATGACGCATGATAGACAGACTGTCAAATCGCATTTTTATAAGCTTACGTGAGAGTGCAAATGAATCACTATTTCGGCGCACAAGCAACCTTCGTAGTGACGCGACATGGCTTTCTTAGCTCGTGATCGTAGGAAACTATCCATTTTGGCGTGACTCAAACAAAAGATCTGCTTTTTCAACTAATTGTCAAACTGGATACAAACCGGAGCCTGAACTGGCAATCAATTCACTACCCGAAAGAATGTTTCCGACTATGTAAGCAATTTACAAGTCCAAAGAGTGCAGGTATTTTCTCTCAGGCAGCGCTTACCCTTCTCCGTCAAGATTTTGCGGTATGAGCGTGTTGGTGTAAGTGCGCATTCAATGAGTATTTAGCATTCTTCTTTCCATTCATTTGTGGATTGCGGTTGTGAATACAGTATGCTTCTAAAGTCTTGCGAGCAAACTTTTGTTCACGGCCAAGATCTACAGTTCAGTTTTGGAAACATTTTCTTCATGTTCATGCACTCTGTGAGCATTCCGCTGGAGAAAACGACTGAGGTTGATATGTAAATGTGTAGGTTTTTTTCCAAAATCTGTTTGAGAAAGCTCATGAGACGCAAAGTTTTGACATTGTCAACAATTTTTATAGTTGTCAGATGATGCTAATGACTCAGCGGAAGAAACAATTTAGTTCCATAAAATTATTACGTCGCGTGACTAAAATATAGTATAAGAGATGAGTGATTAAAAAGATATTGAGTAATCTTAACAAGGCTTAGGTCATGCACTCAAGCAAGTTACGCTCTTATATTTAGAACAGTTCGAGAAGCGGTAACTCGGAAACTACCGACTTCAGTTTCTATTATTCTTGCACTCTTCACTCTCTAGATCGCTGAGTTATCTCTTCTCTAACAGGGAAGTCCGTTTGGTCGAAATGGCTTTTCACATGAAATCAATACGACTATAAAGAGCATCGAACGATTTCAATTTTCTGATTTCAAATCTGTCTTCGTTAACTGCCGAGCGCCTCTGAACGTCGAGTCATGAGCGTTTTTGAGTTAAAAATTGAATGCATGATTAGCACAAAATTTGTCTGAATTGCTCAAGTGGTCCACTATTAAATACCAGTGCACTCTATTTGAATAATACTTTCTGTTCAAAACTCTCATACTTAATACTACTCTATTTGAGCGTTAATAAGACACTGAATGATTTTACCTAGATTATGCGTTCATTTTCGCACCCTTAAATATTCATAAATCGGCATGCAGAGGCTCTTGGCAGATGATGAAGTCAGATTTGGAATCATCGTTTGATGTTCTTCAAAGTGGTATATGACACATCTGAAAGGCCGCTTCGACCAACTGGACCTCCCTTGTAAGTCAATGCTGGTTATTCTCTGCCTACTGTAACGCTACCTTTTTCAATAGAGTTCTATTAGCAATCATATCTTAGACAAAGTAAGCAACTTCTCGGTTTACAGCTCAAATGTAATGGAATGTTGATTCATATTAGATTAACAATTTCCCGCTACGAGTTGATTATTCAAAACTTCTGGATATCCTGAGTCCAAGCTGGCTTTACAGCTTCAGAAAATGTCGAAAAATCGCGTTTTTCGCTTTCGGGAAGCGAGAAACGCCACTTGGGTGTGGCGCGAGAGACAAGCCCTTCGTGCGCAATTGGTAGTTGGGGCCATAGGTTAGTCGAATGGGATCCTCACCCATTCGGAAGCAAGTGGCTATACGTCTTCACAGCTAGCCCCTACTCTGATCGGCTGGCCGCTCGCGCCACACTCATTCGGCACTCCTCAAGTCTTCAAAAGATAAAAAAAGAACATTTTGAAATATTCGAAAGCTGTTACACACAATATGGTCTCAACCAGGGGCGGACTCAGACTCGAAAGTGCCAACTGAGGTAACCTATATATCTGAATCGATGTGAAGGCTGACATCAAATATTATTCATTATCTGCCAAGCGGTTCTCTAGAAAGAGTACTGAGCCCCGGTTTGCTGATGTCAATTTCGCTAAATACAATTCGCATGTGGCGGCTCGGTGGGCTCTAAGCACCTAGATCTAACCCGAGTTACCTAAGCGCTCGCCCGCTTAATACATGCGACGCAACTTACCCTACTAACTTGCCCTAGCGCGCGTCTAGACAAGAAATTAAGTTCAAGTTTTTATCCTTATGACATCAAAGAGACAATAAAAAGCTACACGAAAACTCACAACTAAACTACGAACAAAACTACTAAAATGAGGACTAAACTACTACTAAACGATAACAAGTTCAACACGGGACGAGCTGCCGTGCTACCGATTATAAATACAAATAAGACAAATGCTCTCGAGGCTTCACCTAAACAGATCCGCCGCGCGTCGCCGGATACCAGGCGCGACACCTCTCCGCTCCCGAAGTTTACAAGATCTTGAATATCCCATATCTCAAGGCTCCAAAAGTGGCTCGCCCGAAAAAATCCCAAATCCGTCTTGAATTACAATCCAGTACAACTTCCGATCCGCTCGACCGCTAACGCAAAAGAAACATCAAAAGCGGGAGCTAACTGCCAGGCACGAGCACAATGGAAAACATACGAAAGGATTATCGATCGAAAACGAAAGCGAACAGAAGCTGCAATGAGGCGCCGCCGCTATTTATAGCCTTTTGGCTGGCAACGCGCCAAGGCGAGGAGAGGTCCAGCGGCGATTGTGGCAAGTGTAGGAAAGTACCGTAATCGTCGCCGGATAGCGCGGCAGCAAGCAGTGCTCCCGGCCTCCTACTTCTAGGAGCGCTCGCATCGCGAAGCCGCGACATCGCACCAGAAAGCAAGGTGTGGTCGTTTGGTATAATAGATGAGTGCGGAGCCTATGGAGCAGATGGTCGTTCCAATTCCTTTCATTTTCAACATTTTTGCAAGTTAAGAATATGTTTGCTTTGCGCTACAAGAGGTTTCCCGCCGCATGTACAGACTCCAGATTATATTCTACTGTTAAAAGGTTGGGATTTTAGAGTTTTTTCGTTTCGGTTTCGTTATGGTCCAAGGTTTCGGCCTGGTGTAAACATTCACTGGAATCAAATCTTATGTATGTAAGTGACAACGTGCTTCGAAAATCGCTTCAATACTGTTTCTTGCCCTCCGTATTAGCAACTATGAATGGTGACGGTACTCAATGACTTTTTCATCAATTGTGCTTATTGCGAAAGACTGTTTCGAGCCGTATCCTATCATATATGCGCTCAAATGTCTAGTTTCCAAAATGTGTCAGTGAGACTCTGTAACGTCTCAGAATGTCAAATTTTCAGCATAAGTATATAAATGTAAAAAATCACAGAACGCTGTCAGCCACATGCAGAAAATTTTGATTTAATTGACTGTTCACACCGGGCTGAAACCTTGGTAAAAAAGTCGCCAAATCCCACCGTCTGTACATGCCCGCGGGATACCTCTTATAGCGCAAAGCAAACAGATTCTTAACTTGCAAAAATGATAAAAAGCAAAAATTCAAACCCTCGACCTGCTGCTTATCCGCGCTTAATCATTACACCAGACGGCCACATCTTGCTTTCAGGTGCAAATGGTACTCCACGAAAGTTGACATGTCGACGAGGAATCGGAGCTCACAACCCCTTTTAGAAAGCCGTTGGCAGATAATGAATGTGTATTTGAAATCAGCGTTTCACGCTGATTCTGTTGATATATAGCTGGCACTTTCGAGTCTGGATCCGGCCCTGGTCAGTACAAGAAGTTCCAAGCCGAAGTGTTCAGAACCCGCTTAAAGTTCAAATTTCTGTTGGAGTCCAAAAAATGTAAGCTCACTGTTCTTACCGTAACATGTCTGGTAAAGGCTCTATGATTGGGGAGACAAGGAACTTATTGTTTGATTTTCTGATATAGCAAAAAAAAATTCAGGAAAAGGTAGCGAAAGCTTTAATGAGTGGTCGAACAGAGTATATCAACTTACAGGGGAGACGGTCAAGAGGCGCGATTTCTCCGGCTGTCACCAACTCGAAACTCCGGTTTAGTGCTACGCGAGTTTTCAAAAAGTACCAGATAAAGTGCACTGGCTTACTATCTGTCCAAGGTTATCACTCGCCAAGTTTGGTGGTTTTTGCTAGAAAACGGACTGAGATGTTTACGAATTTGTTCTTAGCTGCATTTTCACCTTCAAAATTGCTCTGAATTGATTCCAGAGTAGCAAGATGAGCAACCCTTGCAACTCCTAATTATATCTCCTTCTGAAATTTCAATACTTCTAGAATGTCATAAAACTTTTATTATGTGCTTTTTGGTGTTCATCTGGCAATAAAAATCGCGCCTCTTGACATACACCCATCCTACAGCATAACTAGACCGAAGAGGAGAAGTACACAATATCACAGACTCGGAATTAAATAGAACGAAGCTGTTCATATAAGTTATATAAAAAACAAGTGACTTACTGCAATTAAGTAGCTCAGTGAAAATGAAAGTTCTTTCAAGAGGCATTCCAGAAGAAGGTTTCGGCGGGTGCCGCTGACACGCTCATAATTATATTTATCTTTTATAATTGACTTGGTGCTTTTGGTACAACCTAACTAGCTATGCGCCTATATTTGGGACCTGTGCACGGTTAATGTTCAGGTTCTTGGCAAATCGCCAAGTCGCGTGGATGTAGCGATTTGACAAAATCCTAGGAAGTATGCCTTAGGCCTTGGAAGATCTCTGTCGCGTCCTTTATTAAGAACTAGCTTGCGTACCCGGCTCCGCTCGGCCCTGTCAAAACAATGTTTTAAAGGTCCCATCCCTATCCCTGTACAGCCTTTCCCTGTGCCCACTTCCACACTTCATTTCCCGTTCCCTGTGTTGTCTTCGAAATCAGCATGCCCACTCACCTCCCTATGCCAATTCCCAGCCCTGTAGATCAAACTTTGCAATGAATCGATAAAGTCGATAAAAGTAATCGATAATTCTGAAAACTAATATTGTATTCGGAATCGCCATGTCCACTTACCCCCCTTTGCCAACTCCCAGCCTCGTAGGTGAAGTCTGCGAAAAAATCGATAAAAATCGATATAGTCGGTATCGATCGATAACGAAAAGTAGCCTATGACACGCTCCCTGCCAGAAGTATATGTGTGCCAAGTTTGGTCCAAATCGGTTTCGGTTCAGAAGTAAAAATTTCTCTTCCGCACATTCCTACATACAGACATACAGACATACATACAGACACACATTCAGCTTTATATATAAGATAAGATTCTGAAATGCTGCCCTACTATAAGTTTTATGGATCATCAAATTTTCTCTGCTGACGCTTACTAGAGTGTGCACTTACGTCGAATGAACATGTGATAATTTTTAGACATATAATCAAGCCACTGAGCGAGTTGAAGGGTGGAGGCGCCAGAGAGGCGCCAATAGAATCGTACGATTTGATCTGACAGATAGAACCTGCATGAACAAAAACTCTCGTACAGGTATAATAAACGGTTTTGTATAAAACACCGCGTTAACGCCCAAATGTTTTTCTTGGTAAAGTGCTTGATCACAAGCTGGGCTGATCATTATGAGCCCCTCATTATGAGCTTAGTCACTTTGAGAAAACTTATCAATTTTCATTACAATCATAGGAAGTAAAAGTCTGTAAAGTTCTGAATGACTGAGCTTGCTATGGATCTGTTCAGAATGTGTCTTTTGCTAACCCTCCAACGCAAGTTGTTGACTGACAACGTCTTCGGGGGATGATATTTACCCCACTGAGCCCTGAATAGCAAAAGACAGGCAAGAAAAAAAAGAGGGAACCCCAGCCTGATGATCTCTTAGCGCTGACAATCTGCAGATTAACTGCAAATGTTCTTTAATGTACTATGATAAAACTGCATGCGCCCCTATGACTTTGTTGGTTATGTCATTATCGGTAAAAACATTAGTGCAACTGTCACATGAGATCGAGCTTCCCTTTGCACGTTCGTAGAACGTTAAAAATTATCGTTCTATGCACTCATGATTTTCTAGACTCACATGCAAAAGAAAAATCTTTATTGGTTCCGATTTAATGAATTTTTTCCTACCGTTGTCAAAAAAAGAAAGATTGATTACTATGAATAAGATCTATTCATTTCATGTCCTAACGAGTGCGACTGCACAAACTGTACACATTGCGCGCCCGACTCTGGATTTTTTGAGCACGAACACGCATTTCTTACCCGTGGTACTTTTACAAAGTCTATTCGTTAGTATTTTTTCTATCTGAGCACACGAGAAGTTTAGTGATATTTTGATGAGATATACAATCTGTCCTAACCATGATCAGATCGAAACGTTTGCTGTGCAGTGCGCGCGCAAAGCACTGCCGAAGTGATTGATGATGAGAAGACAAGCATGGTCCTAGCACAACCATGTATAGCAAACGAAGACGGTTGCAAAATCATGGCAGTGCGGACGCGCATCATGTGGGTAGAGGACTATACGTCACCGAAATGGGGCGGACCCCGCGGCCATTTCCAACAGATACGCACCTTTCACATGCACGGAGGAGCGTCTCTGAAAGAAGTCCCTCCTACCTACCCACCGGGACCCTCCTACTTTCGGCGACATAGGTAGACGCTAGACCAAGCGACTATTTTGTTCAGCTGCAGAAGGCGCGCAGAATTAAGTTAAATCTGCGCACGATTGCCTGCTTCAGCTGGCGCGCAGAGCGCAGATTTAACGTTAATTCTGCGCGCCTTCTGCAGCTGAACAAAATAGTCGCTTAGTCTGGCGCCTACCATATAGTCCTCTACGCGCATCATGTCAATCTTGTCCTGATCCGAATTGGGATAAACATTTTATGCAAACGGGCCACAAAACTCCAAAAAGGACGCGCGTTGCATGCGTTATCTGCAGTCGCACATAACAAGATATGGAATGAAGACTGTAACCATTCAAAACCGTTTGAAAGATTCAATAGTTAATTACCCGTGGTTAGAGGCGGGAAGCTTCCCTAGACATATTTTGTCATACTTTTGTTTGTAAACAGCACTCAAGACTTGCAGCAAATACTAATATCACTTATATTTGCAAAGTATCATGTTATATTTGTAATACTTGAGCGCTTCTAACAGAAAATGGAAGCAAATGATCTATAATTTTTGAATCTTAAGAGAATTGCTTTAATTCTTTCAAATTTGAACTCTGAGGGAGGAATATAAAGAGCTTAATGGAAGCAGTATCAAAACCACAAATGAGTTGTACTTTGCTAAGAAGAGATTATTAGTACATATCGAACGATTACTAAGTAAACAATTTCTGTCAACTTTTACCGAATTACAGAGTAAAATCGTGCTACATAGCTTACCGCATTTTTTTCTGGTCACAAGTACATCGAAGTACTCATGGGACCCACGCAAAACGACTCAAAAACTAACCGTCAAGCAACTGTCTCGACATTGACAGAGAGATGCAATAAAGAGAGTACGTATCTCTCTGCTGCAGACCGTGGTCTTATTTATACCTCAAAAAGAGATGAGTCTCTTCGCGACCGCCCAGTGATAAGCACAACAGTGCAACAGGACGTACCAGGAAGCTATACATCGAATTTGACACATCTAGTCTTAGGAGTGAAAAGATTGATGTCTTAAAGAAGATATGTAAGTTCACCATTAAATCTATGTCTGAGACGTAAAAAAGTGGATGAAATCTCGGATCAAGACAGCACTAATGCCATAAGGCCCTCTCTTGCCCCATCACTATCAGTGTCGCCAGCTCGTCGGCTTTTTGGGTAGTCTGCCACAAGAAGTACATTTGGTTGTACGACAAGAACTGGAAGACATCGTGAAACCTTTTTCACTACAATTATCTAGCAGTGAAGTCCGTGATATGGGGACAAATTGCACAGCGCATTTTCATTCACACCTACTTCTTAGTCCTACATTCAAGGATGAAACGAAGTCATGCAGCAGGTCGAGGAGCGATTTTGGCAACGCCCCTACTACTACTCGTGAAGTTGAGTGGACTTAAAGAACGACATGTCGATTTCATCTGATCACGTGGCTCTGAACATGATATCATGAACAGCATAACACCGAGAGATTTAGCGCTGACTGTCGCTCTTCTCGAATTCTAGTATATCTGCTCTCTGTGATAGATAGAACCCGCAGCAGACGGGAGGGAGAGATAGAAAAAGGGTTGTGCCCCTTTCACCCTTGCACGCGGGCATTTTAGAAATAGTCTCCATGTTCTTTATTACGCACATGCAGACTCTCTTCTACTCACACACCAGACTGTGTAGAATCGCTCGCGTCTTGCTGTGAACACCAATACGCGGGAGGTTATGAAATTAGGTTCTGACTATAAGTTTGTCGCAAGATAATGAGCAAGCACCTTCTTCCGTACATAAAGTTTTGACGTCATTTTCAGACAAAACATAACTTGTGGTTTCAAAAACAACACAAAGATTGACGAGTAAATTTTGAGCATGTGACTTCCAATAGTTTGTGCCGACAAACCGGAGAGCAAGCGTTAAGCGACAAAACGTGCAAAACACAAGCAGGCCCACAACTATGCGCCATTTTTTGATGGCGTTCAGTCATGTATTGACCCTCAACAACCAGCCCCTTATTCTTGTCGCCGAAAGCGTTCTGCACGGAGAGTTTTCCAGGGTCTAAAGAACTGAGTTTGTCGCCTTACGCCCTAAACCCAACTACTCGCTAGCACATCATGACGTTTAGGGCAACGCGGGTAAATAGCTTTCGCAAAGCCCGAAGACAAAACATTGCTCCAAACTTGAAGTCAGTTCTGTAAAAAATTGTCTACGCCAACCTTCTTATTGAAATCGATGTTGTATAACAATCGGAGCCCTAGTTAAGTAATCACCTAAGTTCCGCTGCAAAACATGTGAAGCGAGAAAATCGCGCCAGAACGTGGAAGAGCTGTAAGAGCTAGAAAGACCTATCTTATCTCTAAAAAGAAGTTTTTTTTGTTTCCATCTCTGATTCAAAATAAACTCTATCTGCAACGATGCTTCTTTTCTCATGTTGCTATCCTTGGACTCTAGTCAAATTCGTGGCTCTCAAAGGAGAAAGAGATCTAGTAACATTAGGCTGAGTTTGGCCTTGTATTATCTGATGTGCAGTGAGGTATTGAGTAGTCATACTTTTATATTAGGTCGGCCCGAAGGTTCATTCGCAAAATCAATTTTCTTCACACTTTTTGAAGGTTTTTTTTAAATCTTATCTAGAAGAAGAAATCATGTGCTTTACAACAGCATCTGAAAGGCTTTTTAACACGCATATTTTGCTGTGCTTTGCTGTATTTTCTCGTTGCATTTTTCTAGATTTGTAAAATATGTTATTTGTGAAAACCGGGGCAGTTGGTGATATATTAGATTGTCCCAAAAGTTTTGCTTTTTTGAACAAGCGCCACAGTTCGCAGAACAAAGATTTACAGGAGCTCTTGGTAGCATTCGATGCAGTTTTTCAAGCCCTTTCAAAAGGTCATTTCTATAATGCAGATTAAGCAACGAGCTCTAGAAAATTGTTATAAACTGCGGCCCATGCTTTTTACCAATGTCAAGTTCCACTATTTTTCTGAATTCGTGTACTGATCTTCCAAAGAAGTCCAAGTGGCCTGCGGATAGAGCAAAGAAAGTAGGATACAAAACAGTTTCGATCTCCTTCCCAGGGCTCTCCATAATTTTTTGACAGATTTTTGAACAACACCATCAAATTTTGAGAGTCCCATACCAGACGCAGACTCGTCAAACTCCACTAAATTCTCGATTTTCGATACTCTCAAAGTGGATTAGGATTCAGCACTAATTTAACGGAACAAGTAAGCTTTCCGGGGTTCGAAATACCTAATTTTTAATTTGTCGGGTGCAGCCTGGGGTTCCTTAAAAAACATGAATTTTGCCGATTTTATCCTCAAAACTTCTCGAATTGGGAACAAAAAACATGTCTCTGAAAGAGGAGAAAGTGCTGCGTCGAATAACACCCGAGTTGCTTGTCGGCTGTTGTTCTATGAGGTTTAAGTTGACGAAATATGGAATTCGATAGCATCGAAAAAATAATTTTGAAAGATTTTCGGAGTAAGCTAAGGACGGGACAAAAATTGTTTTGCATCCCGCTTTGTTTGCTCTATCAACAGGTTATTTGGACTTCTTCGAGGAATCAGTACAAGAATTTAGAAAAATAGCTGACCTGGCCTTGGTAAAAAGCATGGGCCGCAGTTTATAGCAATTTTCTGAGAGCTCGTTGCTTCATCTGCATTATAAAGATGATCATTTGAAAGAGCATGAGAAAATGCATCGAATGCTACTAAGAGCTCCTGTAAATCTTTGTTCTGCGGACTGTGGCGCTGTTAAAAAAAGCGAAAATACTTTTGGGACGACCTAATATTTTATGATCCGTTCTTCCCACTTGAACAAAATTTGTGTTGATTGAGTTCTGAGTTATGAGTTCTGAGCAAGCGGCATAAAACGGCAAACTTGATTTTTTGGTATTTGTTTACGAATTATATTTTCGAGAGAACCGCTCATTCACCACGAACTCTCAGGTAGAAAAAGCAGATCGTAAAGCTTGTAATAACAACTGCTCCGATTCTTAGTGCAAGTTTTCAGATTTTCGGCAAGCCTACACAGAATAATCAAAACTTATTTCTGTTTCGTGGTTGCTATCTCTGCATTGTTTGCGTGTTAGAAACTTTTTCAGATGCAGTTGAAAAGCCCCTTCCAAGCAAATTCGAATGCAAATCCTTAAAATTATAGTTTTTTGAATATGGTGCGAACGATAAGAGGTAAATTATTTTACAAATTAATAAAACGGCTTAGTACAAGTCCTAGCCCATTTGAGAATTCCAACATGCAAAAGAGCCCAAGGAAGAAGCTCATCCATCCCTTTCTGCTGTATAAGCTGGAAGTATGCTAGTAAGTGTGACTTAAGGTGTAGGACACATTTTCCTTAATTGCTTTAAAACCATGTCAGCTTACCAAACAACTCAGTCTCGAGAATGCATATGATCAAAAACAAATGTTAATTGCAGAGAAGCATATTGAGTTTATGGGGATGGATTCTAAGATTTTGGGCGGGAATGTCTGCATAACCGCCATTACTTAAAATTTACTCAAAGCTATTTTGCAAACGCCTACATAATACGCAACAAATAAGTTCTTTTTACCAGTTTAGCTATTGTTGCAACCGTTCTTACATGGCGACAGAAACAGTCACGTAGATTTTCCGCCAAGTGTTTGCAGTGCCGAGAAGATGCGGTAGATTGCGCGCATAAACAGATAGCCACGCATATGATGCCGGCCACTTGTCCGCGCAAAAGCCGGAATTACTGGCGTGGTTCTTGTTCACGTGCAGATTTTAGCGCATTTTCTCGGCAGCAAACATACTTTAAAAGCAGTGTCCGGGAAAGTTGATTTTGGGGTTTGCTTATCTGGGCCTATTCGCTATGCAAATCCACAATGGAGCGCGCGAAAACGGCGAAAAAGGGCTCTGACCGAAGGAAATCAGCAGGTGGGCGGGGTCTTCCCATACGTGAGGTTGATTCCTCAGCTTTTAGAGCGATCTTTTCGCTATCATAAGCCGCCCTAACATCGTCACTGCCAAGAGCGAACTCATGACTTGAAGGCGGAACCGTCGCTCCGCAACTTGGAAGAGTGAGTTCACAGATGGACCCCCCCCCCCCACTGCTAATTCCCTTCCTGCATTAGAGCCCTTTCTCGCCCTCAAAGCTCTCTTTAATGTGGATTTTCGGATTCAGCATAGCGAATAGGCCCAGGTAAGCGAAAATCCCAAGATCGACTTCTTTCCCGAACACCTCTTCAAGCGAAACATATACTCGACGGTAGCCCAGAAAGAGAGCGATGGGCATTCTCAGACAGTGATCGGCTGCTAAGTCGTTCAATTCGCGGCGATCAAAAGTCGCTACGATGGTGTCACGACAAGGAATGCCTTAGGCCTTAGAGAGCGCGAACAAAGCAAAAAACTCCAAAGCTCTATATACAGTGCTGGCCATAATTATAAAGCCACCCTAGAAATCGTCGTAATTTTCGTTCTTGTCAATGAATCTGTCTGAAACTTTGCTGTATTGTGCGCATGTCAACCTACCATGACTCCTCAAAACGGCTTCCAGTTTTGTTGAGTTTGAACGGAGAAAAACGTAAAAATTCGAAAAAGCCCTCTTTGAAAGCTGGACAAAATTATATAGCCACCTGGTTTTTCTAACCACTATCGCATTCGTTGACTCTCAAATTTTTTTGTACAATAATACCCCAAAATATGAAACATTTGCAACACCTACGGCCTGTCATCCTACTCAAGTAGAAGCGATCACTGCATTTTTTGCTTTCAAAAGCACCAAAAAATCAGTTTGCTTTAACAAACAACTGGTTTGAAGAGTTTTCAAGCTCTTGTTCATTTCAAATGATAATCATGGAATCTACTAACCCTTCTGGATAGATGAGGTAAAGAGCGC